AGCCCGGGATCCCCGGTGTGGCACGGGCTGGGAGGGCCGTGCGGGTGAGCCCGGGGCAGAGCCCGGGATCCCCGGTGTGGCACGGGCTGGGAGGGCCGTGCGGGTGAGCCCGGGGCAGAGCCCGGGATCCCCGGTGTGGCACGGGCTGGGAGGGCCGTGCGGGTGAGCCCGGGGCAGAGCCCGGGATCCCCGGTGTGGCACGGGCCGGAGCCCAGGTGGTCCCTCGGGACCCCAGGCATCCTCAGAGTGGTGGTGGCACAAGCGCAGGTGGCCCAAGGCAGGGATGGAATCTCCATTCTAGGAGTTACCCGTGACATGGTCCTGGGCAACAGCTCTGGGTGTCCCTGCTGGAACAGGGGTGTTGGACAAGGTGACCTCCGCAGGTCTCTTCCCACAAGAACCATGCCATGATTTTGATTCCGCGTTAATTTCTTTGCAGAGTAGCCTTCTCCAGTTTTGTGTGACATTAACTCTCTATTGCCATACCACTGATGCTGCTCCAGCAGTGTTTTCTCCGGAGGGAGCCATGGGCAGGGTTTAGCAGAGGTTGGTTTCCTGCTGGGAAGCCATGTCAGTAGATGTGTGCTTGTGTGTGTAAGCACATGGGGAGCTTTACCTGCACTGGGAACAGTGTGTATGAACTTTTCATACACTGAATTGCTCCTTCAGCTAATGGTACTCAACTGCCAAAAATAATAAAATCCTGTTCCTTCTGGTGACTCAGTGTTGCAAACATTTTGCAAACACTGCTTGCAATCCCTGATACAGATCTGAGGGCTGTAGGGAGCTTTTATTCTGTGATCAGCATAAATATGAACACTTCTTCCTGTTTGACTCCTTGTTTAATGACTGTATGCTTCTTTTTATGCCAAATAACTTCCTAGTTCCTTATTTTCTAGGCCTTGCTCTCCCTAATAAAAAAGGTTTTGTCATGACTGTGTGCAGAGAAAGGAAACTGTAATGTCATGGGTTTGTGCAGCCTTGTACCCTTTTGCAGGAGTGGAAGTGTCTGGGGCATATGAGTGCAGGGGATAATAATGTGGCCTCATACCTGTGCTGGCCCTGTGGTCACCCCTTCATGGCTGCAGAGGGTGATCTTGGGTTCAGATGGTAATGTTTAGGACCCTGGTGGTACAATCCCATAGCTGGGCTGCACAGCAAGCCTGGGACAATCGTGGAGATCAGTTGTTGATCCTTTCACTGACGCCTGGCTTCCCCCTGCTTTCTGTTGGCCCTTTGCTGAGGAGGGCAGGCTGTTCTGCTCTGCAGCGTGCTCACAAGAACACAGACAGCTCAGGGGCTGCTGCAGGAGGCCAGGCAGGGCTGTGGGGCAGAGATCTCTGCTGCCTGCAAGGAGGAAGTTCTGAGTGCAGAATAAAGGCAGTGTGAGATGGGCACTGCACAAGAGGGACGTGTCCTCTGCAGCACGGAGTGTTCCAGAGCAGGGGCTGGATGCCCAGGCAGCTCTGCTAAACCTGCTGTGGGCACAGCTGGGAAGGAATGCCACCGTTGCCTCCTTGGCTGGCACTGCTAACAACCAGTGGGCACACAGGCTGTTCACTTACTCTGGACAACTCTTTTTGCATGTTCTTGATGGTTTGAGAAGTCTGACCAGCTACAGCATGTTCCTGTAGGAGTGCCCATTATCTCTTTTTATGCTTTTGCTGTCAGATTGAGTTCAGCTTGTCAAAGACAGGTTGCTTGCCCTACCCTCTGCTCTGCTTCACATCTCTTCCTATCATCTGTCCTGCTCAGACACCATATTTGGCTGAACCTTTTTCTAAAATTCATCTCTGCTAATTGCACACCAGACTTGTCAATTTCCAGGGGGCTGTCTTGTAATCTGCCCCTTGTAGTCACCTTCTTGTGGCTGAGAAGGACACATTCATTGTTATTGTTGGTGATCTGACTTTCCTTTATGGTCTTCATCATTTTTCTCACTTAGTAGCCATCCTCAGCCTTCATCCATCCAATCATGCACAGCAGGGAGCCAGTCTGAGAATACAGAAATAGGTGTATAAGAGACAGATAGCAGCCATGTGTGAATCAGGCAGGAGAGCCTGTGTCAGAGGTAACTTCAGGTGTGTGTTCTTACCTTGTACAGTCATGAGGTTGGTTTAAAATGTAGGCTCAGGTGAAGTTCCCAAGCCCCTGCCATTGCTAAGTGGCCCGTGCATCAAGATGACCTGCAACAGTGACCAGACCAAACCCAAATTTCTTGTCTTACCATCTAAAATCCTGTCACAGTTGTAACAGTGCTTCTGGCTGCTGTGTTGAACACCCCTGCAGGAAGTTTTTCAGAGCTGACCTCAGAAGCAAGTTGTGCTGTCAGTGATGCTTAGAGCAGGACTGTCCCTGCTTAGCTCTGAGACACACAGGAGATTCTGGGGGTCATTGGCCCTGTGCTGCCTCAGCTCTGCAGTAACAGAGTGAGGTGATGCCTGTCACCTCAGCCAAACTGCATGTGAGCTGGGATATAAATGGCTGGAACAGGTAGAGTCTCCGACAAGTGTGGCTGATCATACCCAGCTGCAGAGCCAAGCTCTGCAACAGTGATGGAAAAACACTCCAGTGGGACTCAGCGAGTTAGGAAGCACAAGTACCAGAGTGCCAGCAGGGACAGGTCCCTGGCTGACCCACAGCAGCAAATTCAGAGCTGCCTGTGTCAGTTCTGTGTGTCTGAGTTGGAGGGTCCCACAGACAGTGCGAGCCTGGTTCTTTGCAGAGATGCTGGTGCTGCTGCAGAAGGTCTGTGGGACTGGATGCAGAGGAGCTGATTATCAAGGCTGGCTGGACCTCATTAAGGACACTGCAGGTGGAGCACACTATAGTGGGCCAGACTTCCACTCTGCCTGCCTGTCTGGTGTGGAAGTGTGTCAGCTGTCACCACTGAGGTTTCTGTTGATAATCTGTTCTGTGACTGACTACTGCCTCAGCCCTGTGCTTAACTGGGCACAGGAGCAAGAACACAGTGCCTGGACAGTGAACTGGCCTTGCCATCCAACATGTGCTCATAGCAGGATTTAAAGACACTGGAAAATGAAGCTGATCACAACATTGTGTGGAGGGTGACTTTCCTTGGCTGATTCTGCTCCATATTTGGCAGGAGGGGTTGCTGAGTTTTTGGTCCCTGTTTCCTTTTACAATGTGAGTTAAAGAATAAGTTATTTTCTCTCCCCACATTGTCTGGTTTGCCACTGGGAGTCCCTCTGACATGCCTGTAGTAGCTGCAGGTTTAACAGGTATCACAAACATCTGTATGCTAGTTCCTGTTGGGCACTGCATTGGGCACAGAGACATCTGGGATCCCATAAACAACAACATAAATCTGATGTTGGAACAGAAGGGTTTCTGAAGCCTAAAATACTCTCTTTAGAAGGCCTGGTATAAGAACCCAGTGTGCTGGACAAGCCACAGGTGCTTTACTCTGTGTGCCAAGTCTGGCACTGGATGGATGTGTGGTGACAGGGTTGGGGCTGAGGGGTTGGCTCCAGCAGCACAGGAACACATCCAGTCCAGTGGACTGGGCAAACTCCAGTAGTAACTGACTGAGGAGTACAAAATACTAAGGTGAACAGAAGCCCAGAGCTCATCATTTGGGTGCTGATGAGGATCTGGCATTTTCTGGCTCCTCGAGGGGGGCTTCGAGCCACTTGTCATGTGGGGGTGTTGGGATCCTTTGGGGAAGAGTCTCCAGGAGAGAGAACGGGTGTGATGGTGCATGGCCCTGGCCAGAACTTGACCAAAGCAGTCAGTGTCAGTGGGAAAACAGAACAGGTCTTAGGAGAAAGACAAAGAAGGTAGCTTATGCTGCTTGGTGGTGTGAAGGTGAGAGGATCTGGTGATGTCTGGGAACTGGTGAGCATTAGGAGTGAAGTCATCTTGCTGGACTCCTAGGATCAGAGCTAACAGAGAGAACAGAAAGCAGTTACTTGTGAATGGTTGGTTGGTAAAGAAGCCCCTAGCTACTGGAGCAAGCTCTGCTTCCAGCACTCACATTGGGTAATATGATTTGGTATGTGCCATACAGCAAGGCTGAGCTGAATTACCAAGGGAGGTCCTTCTTGTCTGACTAGAGCACAAAGAACATCTCCTCTCTGAAACTGGTAACTAGTCACTCAGCTGGGAATCCTCCTTGGTGTGGAAAAATACAAGTGGTTTGGCACATCCCATGTCAACCCACGTTGTGCCAGTACAGACAGGGACTGATGGTGATTGTCCAGGAGGGTGACCAGGTGGGACATGAGGCTCTGGGACGGGACACATTCCAGTGTGACAGTAGAGCTTCAAATGGGTGGTGGCTCTGTGCTCCCTGCCCACCTCAATGTTTCTCCTAGCAGACAGCTGCTTAGTTTCAGAGAGTTGTTTGCAGTCTCTGCAGAGGTGGCTGTCCCAAAAGCTTATCTTTCATGGGGGTCCATACTTGTGCTCTGCTCACTGTTCTTGTAGCTGCAAGTTATTTCCTCCCCACAGCTGTGAGTGGTTTGTGAAGGCGCTGGATGCTGGGAGGTTCTGCTGTCTGGGTGGCTTGATTCTTGTCTAGAGGTGCTTTGGCACCAGCATCCTCCTGAAACGTGGAAGAGTTGCCTGGTAGGTCCATCCTCCCAGAACTCGGACGTGGTGACCAGTTGCAGTGACCTTGGCACCTCTGGCTGTTCCTCAGGCTGCTATTCTGAAGGAGTTGCTTGTGGCAAATGCTGTAGATCTGTTTGAAGTTAGGCATTTCTGCTGGGAGTTGTTCCCACCTTGTCCTCCTGGTAGGCAGCAGTTGTGGTCTCCAGGTTTGCCCTTGGAGAGTGATGCTAAGCTGCCAAGGAAACAATGCAGGAATGTCTTGGGTTGGAGCAGGTAACGAGAGATGAAGGCTGTGAAGACCCACCTTAATGCCACCATTCTGCCCCTTTGGGCACCAAGGGCCTGGAGTTGCAGGCGTTCCCTGGGATTTCTTCAGGGATGGGATGTGGTTTCCTGTATCCTAAGCATTCCTGGTTTTCTTCTAGTGGCGCCGGACACAATTAACAACCACGTGAAGACCTGTCGTGAGGAGCAGAAGAACCTGCACTTCTTTGCCCCAGAATATGGAGGTATGCTGTGGCTGTGGCTGCAAGACTGGGGATTTTTTGTCCTTACTGATGCTTCCAAGCTGTCCTGCACCTTGTTCTCAGTTCCAGGCTCCTGGCAGATGCCACATTAACAGTTCTGAGCCATTTGCCTGCTGAAATGCTTCAGCTCCTCTGTTCTTTGGTATCAGAGGAGGGAGAAGCTGCAGGACTGTCCCAGCCTGGTGCAGAGTGGTGCTGCTGCATGCAGAGCTGACTGATAACAATGCTATTTCTGTGTTACAGAAGTTGCCAATGTCACCACTGCTGTGGACATCTACTCCTTTGGGATGTGTGCACTGGAGGTAAGTGTCAAGCATGGACTGTGGGACAGAGATGATGAATCTGAGGAAAGAGAGAGCTCTGGAAGGGCTGTGGCCATGGGTGGGTTTGCTCAGTGACAAGTGTGTTTTGTTCTCAGAGCCAAGTGCACTTTGCCTTGGGGGGATCCCTATGGAGGATCCCTCAAGTGCCTCACTAAGGAGTAAATGGCTCAGGGATTTGCAGTTCTTCCCAAATTCCTAATCGGTAATTAATTACTTAGTGGGTCGTGGCCAATCCTGAAGTCAGACTCGCTGGCTGGAGGGAATAGTCACTGCTGCAGACTGTTATGTGATGTCCATGTATGTGACCAGTGCTGGGGTGTTTGGAGCAGAGGACAGCTGTAGTCTGTCACTTTGTCTGGGCCAGCCTGTGCCTCTCTGATGGAGGTGCTGGTTGCAGTCAGTGTCAGTCTGACATACCTGGTCGTAGCAGCTTTGTGCTTCCTCGGTCCTTGCAGTCAGGAGGTCCAAGTCCAGGTAATGGGAGCTGTTGTTAGGAGTATTTTCTGAGAATTGTCAGAAAGAGCCAACACAAGGGACCCTCAACCTCTGCTGCACATTCCATGAGTGAAGCAGGAAGAGAACTGTGGAAAGATACAACTTTTAGGAAACAAAACTTAAGCTGAATGCAGAGACATTCTCTGCAATATTTTCCAGCCTTTCCTAGCTGGGAATTAGTGTCTGTGTAGTTGGCTGGAGCCCATTCTTGATGTGTTGTGTGCTTGCTCTTGTTCTGCGATGCAGAGCTATTCACACAGCCAGAAGGGACACTGTCAGATCCTGGCAGTGATCCAGTCAGTGCTTCATTATGGAATTATCAAACAGAGTAACAGGCCAATGGATCATGAGGTTCAAAATGGAGACACTTACTGTCCAGGTTGTTGCTGGCAGAGTTCCCAGGGCTCCCTGGCAGTCCTGGGTACTAGGAGCAAGCTGTTGTAATGAGGCAGCCATTCTCCGTCTCTCCAAATGTGACCTTAAGTACCCCCAAAGAGCTTGGCTGTGTGATCTCATGCTTGGCAGTGGTCTCCTTGAGCCTGTCTCCCTTGCAGTCTGTCACTCCCAGTGGAGTCTGATGCTCTGCTCTGTGTTTGCAGATGGCAGTGCTGGAGATCCAGGGGAACGGGGAGTCCTCCTACGTGCCGCAGGAAGCCATCAACAGTGCCATCCAGCTGCTGGAGGACCCCCTGCAGCGGGTGAGCCACGGGGCTCGGTGCCCTGAATTGCTCTGCTGCTGCTGCTTGTTGTCTCATGCAGGTTTTTTCTCCAGGAGTTCATTCAGAAGTGTCTGGAGCAGGACCCTGGCAGGCGCCCCACGGCCCGGGAGCTCCTGTTCCACCAGGCGCTGTTTGAGGTGCCATCGCTGAAGCTGTTGGCTGCTCACTGCATCGTTGGGCACCAGCGTGAGTACAGAGCCCTGGGAGCCACGTCCCCACGTGGGTCAGTGCTCTGCAGAGCTGTGCTGAGCTGTCAGTGCCCCCACAGTGAGCTGGCACCCTGGGAACACCCCTCCCCATGCCCTGCTGCCCTGCAGGTTCCTGGCTGTTGGACGCAGCTGTGGGGCTGGGAGGGCTGTGGTGCCTGACCTCCTCTGAGAGCATCTCTGTGCTTTTCATTGCTTTTCTAAGGCTGGAGAAGAACTGCAATTGCTACAAGTTACTCCTTCTTTTTTTTTTAATAGATATGATTCCTGAAAATGCTTTAGAAGAAATGACCAAAAACCTCGACATGAACGCAGTGTTGGCAGAGATCAATCACGAGGACAGGGAAGGAGTCAAGATGATGTGAGTCCCCGTGGTGTGCTCAGGGGGGCTGTGCAGGGGAGCAGTGCTGGGGCACTGGTGTGAGCACTGGGACTGCCCATCACCTCAGTGTTGGTGTTTCCCCACTCACTGGGTGCCAGTGGGAGCTGGTGGAGCTGGAGGTGAAGGAGCAGTCACTGTCTGGGCACACACACTTCTGGGGAGTTATTCCTGGGTGGAAGGAGATCTTGCACCTGTTTCCTGGGAGTAGATTCTGTGCAGCTGAGACAAATTGTTTCCCAAATGGACAGATGAAATGAACATGCTGTAGTTGGAGCAGTCCCCAGCAAAACATGGCTGAACAGTTTGGGAAGGTGCTCTGACCAATCACAGACTACCCAGATGGAGTAACTTTCTCACTTCAGAGGAAGGGTTCCTCAGTGTTTTCCTAATGGAGCATCTTATTCCACGCTATGCACAGGGAAAGGCAGTTGAGGCAGCTGTCAGTGACACACAGCACTACTTGCACTAGGGTGGCCCCTAAGGGAGTGCCTGTGATACCTACATATGGAGCAAGCAGAGTGCCAAAAAAGTCATGTGCATTTTGGATAACAAAGCCTTGGCTAGTCAGGGGATTAGGTGAAGACTAAGATGTGAATACTGTATTCCCAGAGAAACCTAAGGTGCTTCCAGGGGAGCCCAGAGTTCTGGGATGCTCAGGCTGCTGAGCAAGAGTAACCAAGATGACAAGGAAGAACAGCTCCATCCATAAAAGCAGCCCTCTGAGCCATAGAGACCCTTCCAAAAGCTGATGTTCCAGATGTCATAGTGCTAAGCAATGTAGTATGAAATTCCCTTTGGAATGTTTTTGATATAGTTTCAAAATGGAGGACAGCTAGTGAACAACCAAAGCTGTAAAGAGAGATCCTTAGACACATGGAATGTCAGTCTCTGCAGGCATGGCTGTCCATGGTGCCAGCCTGGAACTCGCTTTTTGGTACTGTCATACCTCAGAGGAGCTGGAAAAGGGAAAAGAAAGCAGCAATCACTTGAAATGTCAGCATCCTTTCTTAATGGTTCATCAGACAGCCATGCAAACCAAGCTGCTAGAAAAAATAAGTAAATGTTTGTTGAAACCTACTGCTGTGTTAGAGGATGGGACGATCCCAGCTGCTGGGGGTGTGGCAGGGGCTGGAGAGTGGTCTGGGAGCTGAGGCAGGTGTGCAGCCCATAAAGCACTTGAGGACATCCTGTCAGGCTTCCAGCAGTTTTGCAGTCCTTACCTCGTCTCTGGAATGCTTCAGAGCAGCCTTGAGACAGGGGTTTGGCTGTTCCAAGTGGTTGTTGCAACCAGGGACCTGTTATGGCAGGTATTTGTGAAACAGCTCACCAGGAGCAGTGTCATTGGGCCACCCTCCAAATAACTGCATTGCACAGTTCTGAGGGCTGTGAGACTGGCTCTGCCGTAACTGCTGCCTCATCCTTAGCTCACATAGATAGATAGTTATGTCCTTCAGGGAGGATAAGAGCTTGTCACACCAGTGGCTGCCTGTCCATACCCATCCTGCCTGTGGACACAGCCCAGGAGATGGGGATTTGAAGCTGCACCCCAAGAGACCCAAGTGGATGGTACTGAGAGACGATTTCTCATCTCAGGACATTTTGTTTTCCAGCTTCTCACAATCTCCAGCACTGGAGCTGGACAAGTTCCTGGAGGATGTGAGGTAAGAGGGATTTTTTAAGACACCTTCCATTGTGTGTGAGACTGGAAAAATTCTGGAGAGGTATAACCTCAGATGCTGCTCCTTCCTTGTAGGAATGGGATCTATCCCCTGACAGCCTTTGGGATGCCACGACCCCAGCAGCCCCAGCAGGTCGTGGTGAAATCTCCCATTGCTCCCCCGTCGGTGAAAACTCCAACTCCAGAGCCCGCTGAGGTGGAGACCCGCAAGGTAAAGGCGAGGGGCTCAGCCTCACTCTCCCACTGCCAGGCAGGGCTGTGGGGCAGCTGCTGATGGGTGTGTGGGGCAGCTGCTGATGGGTCTGTGGGGCAGCTGCTGATGGGTCTGTGGGGCAGCTGCTGATGGGTCTGTGTCTCTGTTCCAGGTGGTGCTGATGCAGTGCAACATCGAGTCCGTGGAGGAGGGCGTGAAGCACCACGTATGTTTCTACGTCTGGCTGAGCAGGGGGAGGCTGGGGCAGCTGTGCAGGGCTCATGGCTCTGATGTGCTGCTGGTGCCTGGGGTAACCCTGCACTGCTGCAGCTGGCACCATAGGACCCAGAGCCTGTCCCAGGGCTGTGCCTGCTGCTGACCTGGCACCTGGCCCACCCCTGGCCCTGGCTCCCAGCGCAGGATGGTGCTGCCAGCTGCAGTTCAGGGTGGAACTGGCTGTGGCTGTTCTGTTAGATCCCTGTGGGGCTCTGGAGGGGTGGTTCCCATCCCAGGGGGCATTTCTAGGGTTGCTTTGGGCTTGCCATGGCAGCTTGCAGGACTGCAATCCCTCATGAGAATTTCTTTGCCCTGCAGCTGACACTGCTGCTGAAACTGGAAGACAAGTTGAATCGACACTTGAGCTGTGACCTTCAGCCCAGTAAGTCCCCTTCTGCCCCTGCCAGGTGCATTGGGCCAGCAGCACGCTTGGACCAAGGACTGACACCTTTCCTTGTGTTGCAGATGACAACATCCAGGAGCTGGCAGCTGAACTGGTCCAGCTTGGATTCATCAGCGAGGTAAGCAGGGGCTCAGGCAGGGCTATGGGCCTGTGTTCCTTCCTCAGAGTTCAATGTTTTATGACTTTTTTGGGGGGAGGAGGCAGGAGGAGTAAGTCAGGGCCCTGCCCTGGGGATCTCCAGCCATGCTCTCAGCTTTGAGGGGTTGGGGCTTACCCCTCACTGTCCTTGTTCTCCCCAGGCTGACCAGAGCAGACTCACCTGTTTACTTGAAGAGGCATTTAGCAAGTTCTACTACACTCGGAACGGAGCCCTGACGGCCGTGACTGTGTCATCTTAGCCCCGTGGCTCCTGGGCAGCCAGCGTGGCCTCGCTGCCTGCGACCCATCTGTGTCTGCCCACCGCTCTCGGGCATCCGCAAGACCCCAGCTGCAGTGCTTGGAAGCTCATCCTGCATGTGCCGTGGCTGGGCTCATCGACAGTCCTCCCTGCCCGCCTCCTAAAGGGACTTTGAGCATCAGTATTATTTCCAGCCCTGTTTTTGTTGGGATTTGCCAGGCTGTGCTGCGGAGCTGAGGCCTGGCTTGGGGCGTTCTGCAGCCCCACTCATGTGCATGGAGTTTGTTCTGTTTGAATTGTACAAAGTGTCTTTTGCACAGCACAGAAATGGGTTTTTTCTTTCCTTTTTTTTTTTTTTTTTTTTTTTTTTTTTTTTTTTTTTTTTTTTTTTTTCTTCCTTTTTTTAATTTAAAGGTAAGCAGGGGTGAGCCCCTAAGCCCTGTACCCCCGGTCACTCCCCCCCCATTCCCTCGCCATGAGCCCAGGGGTGGCCGAGCTCGTCTCCCCTCCCCGCCCGGCGCTTCGCTCCCGCCGCCGGCTGCACTTTGTTTACTGGTTCGCACCCGCCCGGGGTCACGGCGTGTGCTGGCCCCGGGCTGCGGCCCCGCGGCCCCTGCAGCGCCCGGCCCTTACCGGGACTCCCGGGCCTGCAGCGGCTCCGGGGCGCAGTGTCGTCCTGGCGCGCGGCGGGGCCGAGCCGCGGCTCCTGCATCTCATTTCTATCATTTCCTATTTTTAATAAACTGTTTTGTAAAGACGCGAGTGCCGCCTCTTGCGGGGCGGGGCGGGGCGGGGCGGGGGCACAAAGGCGGCGGCGGTGCTCGGGGAGCGGCGCGCTGGAGGCTCCCGCCCCTCTCCGGCGGCGGCCATGGCCGGGGGGCGGCGGGCGCCGGGAGCGCTGGCGGAGCCGCAGCGACTGATGCGCTCGGGGCTGGGGCTGATCGTGCTGGGCCACGGCAGCCTCGTGCTGGGCGCCATCGTGCACGGCTCGGTGCTGCGGCACGTGGCCGGCGCCCGCCGCGCCGTCACCCCCGAGTACGCGGCGGCCAACGTGGTGTCGGTGTGCTCGGGGCTGCTGGTGAGCGCGGCCGGAGCGGGCGGGGGGCGGCGGGCCCTGCCCCGCCCGGGCCCTGCTGAGCGCGGCTCTCCCCGCAGAGCATCGCCGCGGGCATCGTCGCCATCCTGGTGTCGCACAACCTGTCCCGGGCGGTCCTGGTGAGTGCGGGGCTGCGGGCGGGGGGCCTCGGCGCGGCCCTGCCCCGCCGGCAGCCGCTCCCCTGGACCTTGGCCCCGCGGGCTCCTTCCGCCTCGGCGGCGGCTGCCGGCGCTGCGGGTGTCGCCTGTTCCCGGCTCGGCCCCGCCGGCCGCTCCGGGAGGGTGGGAGCGCCGTCCTCGGGCAGAAGCGTTTCGGTGGGCGAAGCTGCAGCCGGGTCGGGGGTCCCGCGTGGGCTCGCAGGGTGGGCGGCCACGGGGCGGGGTGCGCCGGCCTGGGCTGGGGGCTGGGGGCTCCCGCGGAGCCTGCTCTCCACGGAGCCCGAGGCAAGGGGCGTCCAGCGGGGCGAGCTCACGGGGGTGGAAGGATGCGAAAGGTGCGAGAGCCTCATTCGAGGGCGTCTGAGCCGTCCTGGAAGAGGCGATAGGTCGTGTGCGCTCCTCGGAGGAGCAGCTCTGCAGAGACACAGGTGCCCTGCCCCAGCGTTTCCCCGAGCTCCTGCCAGTCCCACTCGTATTCTTGCCGCCTGCAGCACTGGACCCTGCTGGGCGTCTCTCTGGTGAACTGCCTGCTGTCCACCGCGTGCAGCGTGGGGCTGGCGCTGGCCTTTGCCCTCACGGTGCACAGCCGGGGCACGCACCTGGTCCGGGGCTGCGACAGCTCCGCGCTGCCTGCGGACGCCCGTGCAGCCATTGCGACTAACGACTGTCCCTTCAACACCACGCGCATCTACGTGAGTCACAGCACAGCCCCGCTCCTCCCAGCAGCTTCTTTCCCTCTCTGCTTCTTTTCTTTTCACTCTCATTCTCCCTCCTGCTTCCCTTTTCTCTCCCTCTCCCCCTTCTTTCCCCTGCTGTCTACACAGTTTCTGCTGAGTTTGTTCAGCCAGCCTGGTGCAGGGCCCACGTTCCTGTGACCCCCTGCTCCGCAGGACACGGCGCTGGCCCTCTGGTTCTCCTCCCTGCTGCTGGCAGCTGTGGAAGCCGTGCTGTCGGGCAGGTGCTGTTTGGTGGCTCTGGTCTTCCAGGGCATTGGGCCCTGTGCACAAAGCTACAGCAAAGAGCAGGTACAGATCTCCCTGGACACATCTCCCTGGATCTCCCCCATGATTGCTACCTTTGTGCTGCACTTGTGAGGTGTTGGGTTCTGCTGAGAACAAGGAGGCTGTGCAGCAGTAGGGGGGATGCTGAATTGGAACCTCTTCTAGCCAGCCTAAGTGCCAGACCAGCACCCCCTGATGGGGAGTTGCAGAGGGACCCTCTTCTTCATCCCCCTGGGAGCCAGGCCTGTTCTTTTTTTTGTGTGAACATTGCCCACCATGTATGCTTTCCACCTTACACTTCTTTTTGTCTTTTTTTTTTCCTCTCTAGCTGGCCAGGCCAAGTACAGCAATGGAGAAGCCACTCCGTGAGAGGCAGCAGCTCCTGGCAGGACTTGCTGAGTCTCCTGTGTAGCTGGAGAGGTGAGTGCCCCATGTGGGCTGTGCTTGGGATGGGGGGAGCAGGCTCTGCCATCAAGAGGGTCCATGCCCACACCAGCTCCCCAAAACACCTCTTCCTAGGAGCATGGGCAGAGGAGTCAGTGATGCTGGGCCCTTCAGCACAGCCTGGCACTGACACTGCTCCTTCGCTCCCAGGTGGTGCTGCAGGAGCGCTGTGATCCAGCAAGGCCAGGGCCAAGGTGATGTCACACCTCCTGCAGCGGGCTGCAGCGGTGAGGGGTGTGCCTTGCCCCCTGCCCCAGCTCCACCACCCCACCTGGCACAGACCCAGCAGCTCAGCAGGTGCTGTGGGCCACGGATGCTCTCCCATCCTTGCCCCAGGCTGCTGGACCCTTCCTGGTGTGCTGAAGGCTCTTGGTTTCTGTCAGCAGTGATGGGTGTGGGCAGAGGTGCTGGGGCCCAAGTCCTGGTGCCATTGCAGGCATTGCAGCTGGCTGTGCCTGTGCTCAGACATGTCAGGGAACAGAAGGGGAAGAACCCCTTTGGTGTAGATCTCTAGTTTTCTTGAATAAATAAACTTTTCCTTTCTACACTGGCTGTTCTAAGTGGCTCTGCCAGGTGAGTGCTGGTTGGGAGCAAGGCATGCCAAGGGAAGGAAAGTGCAGCTACTCTGTGAGCCCATCCCTGTGCCTGCCACTCCCCAAGCACAGGGATGTTGGCAGAGCCGTGGCCTCAGTGTGGAAGTCATCCACGGATGTGGGAGTTGAGACGCAGGGGCTGCAGCCCTGTGCCCAGCAGCTGCAGTGTTCTGGGCCCAGCATCCCCTGGCAAACAGGAGCAATGCAGGGCTGAGATAACATGTTTATTGGATGTGGAAGGTGCTGAGGAACAGGCCTGAAAGCTGCCCCAGTCCTGCTCACTGGAATGAGAAGCTGGTGCTTGGGAGCCCCCCACACCACCGTCGGAGGAACTCGATCACATCCTGGCCTGCAGGGCTGTGGGATGTCTGCAGAAAGAGAGGCCTTGGCACTGGAAGGAGGCACCCCTGTGCCCCCTGCCTGAAGGCACCCCATGGGCTAGCAGGACTGGTGATCCCCACCAAGCAGCACTGACAGTGCAGTGAACTGCCCCAGGACAATGACATAGCCAAAAGGATGCTGCATTGTCAGCATGAGGGGCTGAACCCACCCACAGCCTGTCTCCCTGCCTGGGGGTTCTGGCTCACCTTGACAGCCATCACAAATTTGTACCATGCATCCTTCTTCACTTCTCGGCCTGGCCTCAACTCAATCTTGTTTCCTAGCACGGGGTACCCTGGGCACAAAGTGACACATTCAGAACAAGCTGAGCCCCACAGCAGGCCTCCACCTGCTGCACCCCTTCCCTGTGCTGTAGCTGCCCCAACAGCACAGTGTGTTGGGGGAATAGTGCTGCCTTGGTCTCTAGGAGACCAAAATGAAGAAGGGATGTTCAAAGTGGAGGGACCAAATGAAGATTAAGGCTGAACTGCCCTTGGGCAATGACATCCAAGTGAACAGGTCCAACAATGGCACCCAGCTTCTGACTCTCGGAGCCACAACCCTGTTCCTGGTGGCACACTTCTGCTCCCCCTTCTCTGACCCTTTTTAAGTCCTACACTACAGAGCAGGGCCATGTGCTGCCCATTCTCAACTGTCTGTGCTGGCCAGCCTGGAGTCCCCAGGCAGAGCTGTGCCAGCCTGAGCCATCCCTGAACCACAGAGTGGCTGAGCTCAGAATTGCTCTAGGGTCTGTATGGTTCAACTCCCTGCTCAGGCAGGGCTACCCCAGCCCAGAGCTGTGTCTAGACAGCTTTTGACTGTCTTTAAGGATGGCGATCTCACAACTTCTGTGCAGCCTGTTCCAGTGCTCACTCACCCCCACAGTAAAAATGCCCTACCTCCTCCAGCAGAGCTGGTTCCCCACAGCCACACACGCCCTCCACTGCTCAGAGCACAGCCCAGACCTCCTGCCAGACCCACCCTGCAGCACGTTCCCACTCCCTGCACGGCACTGTGCCATCTCTTGTCTGGCCTGGAGCTTACCCGTCAGCAGGCAGGGCAGGGAGGGCACCCCGGTCCCCACTGCCACCAGCGAGGCTTCGTAGGCGCCGCGCTCGTCCTGCGGCAGCGCCTGCTCCAGCCGCTGGTCCATGGACACCGTCAGCACCCAGTCCCTCACCTCCTCCCGCTGCTCCTCCTGGGGGCAAAGGCTACTGTGAGGCTGGAACCGGGATGCTGCTGCTGCCCCAGTGCAGCCCCACAGCAGCAGGGAGCACGTGGGAGAGCAGGACAGGAGTGTATGGTGTGCACACAGCACACACGTGCGTGGTGCACGGCGGGGCTTGAGTGTAGGTGTGTGTGCTGGGGAGCACGAGAGGGAGGGAGAGAGGAAGAGAGTGTGTATTATATGCATCTGTGAGTGTGTGTACACAGGTGTGTGGTTTTTTGTGTGTGTGCTCACAGGTGTGTGTGTTTTTGTGTGTGTGCACAGGTGCGTTTTTGTGTGTGCACACAGGTGTGTGTTTTTGTGTGTGTGCTCACAGGTGTGTGTGTTTTTGGGTGTGTGTACGCAGGTGTGTGCGTGTGTACAGGTACATGTGTGTGTGTGCAACACATCTGTGCACACATGTTTGTGCATGCAGCTGCGTGCACGTCTGTGCATGTGTTTGTGTGCTCTCAGTGCAGGGACAGGAGAAGGTGCCAGTTCTGGGTCTGTTTCCATCCCCTGCAGCCTCTGCAATCCCAGCCCCACCCCAAACCCTGTTCAGAGGGCTGTGAAGCAGCACCACTGCTCCCAGCAGCTGAGAAGACAGGTGACACTCACAGGCACGTGCTGATGGGCTGGAAGGGGCACTTCAAAGGGAATGTCTGTCTTCTGAAAATCAGAATGGTCCAGGGAATCCAGGTTTCCTTCTTCAATGGCCTGGAAAGAAGGGATAGGGCACTGGGCAATGCCAGCTGTAGAGCTCACAGTACAATTCATGGCCAGGATGCCCCTGCCTGTTGGTGCTGTGGTGACCAGGCCCTCCTGTCATCCATGACCACACTCTGAAGTGCTTCTCAGACTCTTCCCTGTTCAGGTG